GCGCCTGCTCCGATTCCATCTCAGCACACGTGCGAGGATGAAAGCAGCGAGTGAGACTCTAGAATCCCCCGGGCAGGTCTCCAGGTGCACAATGCACAAGAGGATGGTGCAGGGATTCGGACTGAGCCTCTCTCTGGGGTGGCCAGGGCTGTCGGAAACACACACCCAGGGGCCCCACATCTTCATGGGGGTCACTGTAAGGATACGGGAAAACCGCAGATGGGAATCCTGACCTCGAAGCCAGGCTGCAGGGGTTGGAGGGTCATTCAGGACAGAGTGGAGCCCCAGGGTCCCATCATCTTTCTGTGCCTGGAAGGTGGGCAGCCTGTCTTTTGACTCCAGAGCTCTATCCTCACAGAGATTCACCAGCTCTGCATTTTGCTTTTACCTTCCAGCTCCTACCAACCCGCTCTGGTCTGTTCTCCTCTGCTCGAGACTCCTGCCGCTTTTCAGCCTCTGCTCCCAGCGCTGATGGTCCCCTCTCACGCTGGCGTCCCAGAGGCCAGGCCTGGCAGTGGAGAGGGACGGCTGCTCCAGGCAAACGACACTGAGGAGAGGGGCAGTGGAGTGGCGCGTGTGGTCCTGGGCTGGAGGAGGACGATGCTCTAGGGAACAGCAGTGCCCAACCGGAACTGGGTGGGAGCAATGTCACATTTCCTCAATTGTCACCTGCCTGTGGTTAGGGAAGGGGATGACCTTTGTTCTTGGTAAAAACACAGAGGTACTAAGGGATAAAGGGGCATGATTTATGCAACCTATTCTCAAATGGCTAAAAAAAAAAAAAGTGTTTTTAAAGAAGTCCACAATGACTTAACCTCTTGCCAAATTCCTGACAGTTAAGAAAGTGAGAGACCGAGAGAGTGAGCGAGAATAAGAGAACAATGACAATCCTGGCAACCCTGTAGGCTGCCCCTGCCTGGGGGTGTCAGGATTGGTTCTGGAACTCAGCCACAGTCCTGTCAGCTGGTGGTCGGGACAGCGGAGGCCCATGGCCCAACACACACCCCCTGCAGGGCAGCTGTCCATGCTTCCAGGCATTCTGAACACCCTTCCTGTCTGGGGGATGGCCAGCCTGTGTGACCTCTGTTTAAGAATCTTCGCCGGCTGAACGGGGCCTGGGGTGGCGGGCAGCACTGAGTGCGTCCGTTACTCTCCACTCCAGCCAGCGGGGTGAAACTGGGGCAGGGGGTGGCTTCTGGGCACTCAAGGGGCCCCCGGACCCCTATGTCCTCCCCTGGGGTGCTCCCATACAGGACCCCTGGCGATGCCAGTCTCCTTGGATCCCAGCAGGGTCCTTCTGCTGCGGGGATGATGGGAACCAGCGCTGCGCAGTGTCTGCCCACGGCACAGCACACAGAGCGCCGGCCCTGCGTCCTCAGGCCCGCCCCATACCAGGTGACTGTGAGTGGCCGCACTGTGATCGCTTCACTTTTCTTGGGAACAAAACCTACCTCCCAAGCTTGTTGACTACGAAAGGAGTGATTAGGAGGAAGAGTTCACAGACAAGTGAAACACCTTATAAGCAGCACAGTGTGGAGCTATGTTAGTATTGTCACTGTCTCTCCATTCCAAGAGGAGAGTGAGGACAGGAGACCCTGGGATGCACCATAAGGGGATGATGATGGTGAAGGAGAAAGGAGGGACGTCCAGGGGGTGTGTTCTGTTGTCTGCCCCTGCAGAGGGCCCAGAAGAGCAAGGCGTGGAGGAGTGACAGGCTGGTGTGGGTGCTGGAAGGGGCCAGGGCACTGTCCCCTGAGGACTCCAGCTGCCTGAGCAGCCATGCATTGTGTCCTGTGGCCCATGCCTTCTGGTCACAGCCGACTGGGTCAGGAGAAGGCACCTCCCCAAGGGAAGTCAGTCTACCGGCTGCTGAGTAACCCCCAAATGAGCGGGACCAGTCGGATCCTCTCATTTAAGACTCAGCTGCTCAGGGAGGAGTGACCACAGTGCTGTAGGAGGCAGGTCAGCAGGAGGGCTGGGGTAGTGCTGAACATGGGCTGGGGGAGCAACACCTCCAGTGAGCAAAGCCAGTAAGCAGGGACAGGAGCGGGGAGTGGACAGAAACATAGAAGACAGCTGCTCACATGTACTGAGCATGTCCCATGGGCCAGCTGAGAAAAAAACTCCTGATGTTTTTTTCTCACGTCATCAACATGATCAACAAAACAACTATTCCACTATTATCCTTATTTTACAGATGAGGAAACAGGCATGCAGAGGTTAAGCAACTTGCTCAAGGCCACACAGCCAATCAGTGGTAGAGCTGCACCTTCAGGCTTGGGCTGGTGACTGCAGTGTCACCATGCTGCCTCCATCACGGTTGTGCAGCTGCTTTGGCCCCGCCCCTGCCAGGCCTGTGCACTGCAGTTCAGAGAGCTCCCTCTTGTCTCTTATCTTCAGTGGGTCTCTGTTCTTTGCAATGGAAAGAGCCTGGTGAAAATTCTAAGAAGTTTCTGGCAGGGGACAGCAGGGTACTTCCCAGTCAGGCCCCCCCAGCCTCCCAGGATCCTTTGGATCAGTACCACATGGGTTAGTGCCACAGGTGACTTAGTTGTGTGGGGTTGTCATCAAGAGCTGGTGGCAAGGGCTGGGCACACGGGCAGGTTTGTTTAGCTGGAGGCTTCCCAAGGCCAAGAAATATTTGCACAGTGAGGACATCTGAGTGGCGGGTGGGGTTGCAAATGCAACAATGAGCACTTTGGTACCAGAAGGGAGTCTGGGTGGTGGGGGCTGAAATTCCATTCATATCTGTGCCTGCAGATAAACTCTATTAATACTGAAGTGCACAAGTGGGAGCCGTGTCCTGCGAAGTGGTGGTGGTGGGGGTTGGAGGTCTATGGGGGCACCAGCAGCCCCAAGTCTGTCCCCAAACTAGCCCTCATGCCCGCACAACAGTTCCGATGAGGGAGTTGGCTTCCCTGCTCTCCATTGAGGGTTTGTGTGTGACAAGCCATTTGATACCAAGTGTTCACTGAATCACTAAAGTTCCTTTATGGGTTACCTTAAAAAAAGGTGACAGCAAAAGAGAAGCTGGGCACCCAAAGGCGCTAAGCAAAGCCCTTCCTCACGGGGACAGCAATGCCCAGTCCCAGAGCAGGGTGGAGGGAAGCATGGAGGTAGCCAGGCCGCCAGGAGGCTCAGAGTAGGAGGTGGGTCTGGACAGATCTAGACCAGCCCTGAGTTTGGGGGGAAGCCTCAGGGCAGCTGTCTTTAAAGTGGGGTGGCTGCAGCCTACAGCAGTGATCCCTGGGGTACACGAAGAAAAGAGCTATATGAATTTGCATCATTCTTTAAAATTGGTTTGACGCATGTTATAATAATGATATCCAGTGTATTGGCACGTGGTATAACGGATCTATTAAGAGTGTACTGGCATGGACTTAGAAAAGGCGGTGACCTGGGTGGCCTGGATCCTCCCCCCACCCCGCTCCTGGTGCTTCTGGTGCAAGGCCTGAGGGTCAGTCTCTCCTGCTCAGATAGCGAGTCAGCCCTGGCCTTTCCTGGCTGTGCCCCAGAGGCAGCAGGGGGCCTCAGGTCCACCTGAAGGACAGGGTGGAGGCCAGAATCAACCCCGCCTGGCTCCGTGCCTCCTCCTGCTCCCCTCCCGGCTTCAGCCCCAACCTCACCGGGTGACACTCTCACCAGCTCAAATCCAAACCTTCCCAGAGGACCCTCCCTCCCTTCCTTCCTCCTCCACACTCCCTTCCAATCCCAGGCCTTGGCCCCAGAGACTTCTCTGGCCTCTCTCCTGCAGCAGCCCCTCCTCTCCAAGGCGGCTGAAGGCCTGTCTCGCGGCTGCATGCCCAACAAATGAACGTGCTGCTTCAGACAAACCTGCTTCCCTTCAAGGGTCTCTTTATTCAATCTGCACAGTCACCGCCAGCAACCTGGCCAGGCCCTCTGTGGCTTCCAGTGAGGGAATACTTAAAAGTCAAAATACATTTGGTGCGTTTCCTGTTACCAAGAATTGACTTCCAGCATCTTTGGGTACCCCAAGATAAATCAATAGCATTTGCTTTTTCTTTACTTTTTTCTAACAGAATTCCAGAAAAAAATAGATCTCTATTATATATAATATATATATTTATATACACACATACATGTATAGAGAGATCCTTCAACCAAGAAGAGGCAGAGGATCCAGCGCCCCCGAGGTGCCCCTGGCGTGGCGCAGGGAGGCAGAAGGCACTGGTTCTCAGGATGCGCAGTGCGGAGCAGCGTGGCGTGGAGGGGGGACACCCAACAGCTGCTCCCTCCAGGGGTGGGGCTGCGACCAACCAGGGCAGCCCTCACCCAACCTGTACACATGTACCTGACGGAGCGTTAGAGCTAACACCCAAAGTGCGGATACAAAAGGATTTCCCCGGCAGGCCTCTGGGGGACCGACTCCCGGGGAAGAGTTCTAAGAGCATCACACGGCAGGGCTGGGGGAGCCGGCAGAGAGGACATTTGCCCACTGGTCCCCGACTCCTGCAGACATAGCCTGTCAGGGACACAGAGGCTCAGTCACAGACAGGAAGGCTGGATTTCCTCTCCCCCTCAAGTCTCCAACCACAGCCCCCATGTGGACCCAGGCAGGGGGACCCAAATGGCCAGGGTGGAGATTGGGTCACCCAAGAAAGCCCAAGGTGAAAAATGAGCTGTGGGTGATGAGATGTATTGGGGGTCTTTCTAGAAACTGCCCACCTTCATGCTGCTGGCCCTAGAGGGACCTGCACTGTGGGGTAAGGCTTGAAGAAACCCTGTGTCGACTCAGGCCATTACAAAGGGCTGGTCCAGGAACCATGTTTTGTATCGTGAGGCCCGTCCAAGGGGGCCCTGGCCAGGGGCCGAGAAGGCTACTTGGGCTGGGGCACGTTTCCAGGGAGACGGGGGTGGTGGAAATGGAAGAGTGGGTTAGGGCCAGTGCTCAGTGACCCCGGCCAGACACCAGAGGCCCCGAAGGCACTTGGGAGCAGAGGGGAAGAGAATGGTAGGGCCCAGGTGGCCCAGCGGGCAAAGAGGGGCAATGCTGGCATCATCCACTGACTCAAAGTCTGGGAGACTGGCCCAGAGATCCCATCTTCTTCCCACTTGCCCAGTTTCTTTAAGCTGTGACTGCCCTGGGTAAGACCTGAGAGAGACCCAGAAGCCTGCGCTGTCCAGGGACTGGGGAGTGAGGCCCAGAGCATGGGGCTCCCAGACCCCCAGACAGAGGTGTGGGTGAGGGTGAAGCACAGTTGCGAGGCTCCCCCTGCCCGAGCTCTCGGGGAGCAAGTCTGGTTGCCACAACTCTGCCGTCACTTAGGTTTCAAGCCAGACTGTCTCCCAAGGCACCCAGGAAGCAATCTGGGAAGGCTCTCTTGGCCCAGCCAGGGGGAGAACTAGGGCTGCAGCCTGCAGAAGTGTTCACTAGAGATGTATTTCCCTGAGGCCCCACCTGCATGCCACTGTGCCCCTGGTTCCCAGCTGCCTGCCTGCTCCCGCCAGCCCGCACTGGGCAGCCCCCACTGGGCTGCCGTGGCGCTGTCAGAGCTCTCTGGGGATGATGGAGAAGGGCAGCACGGGGCTGCTGGCCTCCAGCTCCAGCGCCGTGAGGAAGCAGTCGACGGCAGCCTCGTTCTGGCCCTGGGCCTGCAGCACCTCTCCCAGGCCCTGCCACGCCTCATGGCAGGTGCTCTGCCTCTCCACGGCATCCCGAAGCACCTTCTGGGCCAGGCTCTTGTGGCCCTGGCGACTCAGCATCAGACCCTGCAGACCAAGCACAGGGCAGGGTTACTGAGGGTGTCCCGGGGCACGGGCATCCTGGCAATCGAGACACCAGCCAGAGGTTGCTGTGTCTGTCTTGGGCACATCCTACCTGTCCCTACCTCAGCCCAGCTGCCCGGGCCACCCGCCACAGGAGCCCTATTCCTGCTGACCCCAAGGGATGGACTTGCAAGCCCCCAGACCTGGCTCTGAGTCTCCCAGCAGGGATCCTGGGCAGGTTGAAACTCTCTGGCCCTCAGTTTCCACATCTGTAAGTGGTGACATTGCAGTATCCACCTTGAGGGCCATTGTGAAGTTGAAAGGAGTCAGGACATGAAAAGCAGAGAACAATGCCTGGCACGAGTGAGCTCTCCACAAATGGGACTATTCTCAGTCCTGGCAGTGGCCTGGCGGAGCTGCCCCCCACCCAGGGCACTGAGCAGTGCGCGGCCCAGGGCTTCCTCCCTGCCACCAAGGGGGAGCAGCTCAAGCTTGTGGGTGGAAGGGGCGGCTTCTTCTCCTGATTAAGCAGCCTTGATCAAGTCCTGGGGACATTTGGGTCCTGGAACCTGAGCACCCAGCCCAGCCTGGCAGGTGAGGGTCACAGGGGAGCATCAGATGGCTGGGGATGGGGGTTGGGGGGCAGTGCTGGGTGAATGGGCTGGATCGACTCAGAGATGAAAGGCTCTGGGGTCCGGTCAGGAGTGGGCCAGGAAGCCTGGCCCTGCTGTTTCACTCAAACAACTCTGTTGCCAGAGAGATAGAGGAAGTGACAGGAATTGTCACCAAAAAGGGTCTGGGAAGTGAAACTGTCCCCCTGTCTCCTCTATATCCTCTTCCACCCACACTAGGATGGGGCAGGGAGGACAGGGACTGTGGCCCTCTTCAGCCTCATGTCCCAGAAGGGCTGCTTTGCACTGTCCCACTGATCTGTGTTCCAGCCCCTGAAAGCAGCACAGGATGGCAGCCCGGGGTGTGTGTGTGGGGGGTGCCCTCCTTCTCTTGTTCAAAGATAGGAGGTAGGAGGTAGAGCCCCGCCACTGACTTCCTGGACAGGCGGGGGCCGCGGAGGGGGTGGGGAGCTGCCTGCTATGTGCCTGAAGCCCCCTCTCCGGTGCCCGCCCACTGACGGCCATGTACATTTTTAGCTGGAACATTTTTTTCCTCACCGAGCTCCCCGGAGTTAGGCCCTCGGTTGCTATGGAGACGCACTGGGGAAGATGCACATGCCTGATTTCATAAAGTCCTCCGAGAGCTTGGAACACAACCAATTAGGCGAGAGTGAAGGAAGGTGCTCAGGAGAAGCCCTCTCCAGAGGCGCTGGCTGGAGATCCTGTGGCCAGGGGCCGGGGGAGCGAGAAGGGACTGTCCTCACAGCACCTCTGTCAGCCCTGGGCAAAGCCGTGCCCCTCACGGATGAGGCTGCAGAGGACGGGGAGGACAGGGGGGCCAGGGGGGCCGTGGGCGGGGTGCGGCTCCAGGCAGGGCCCACTCTGGCCAGATCGGAGCGGTGCTGACTCAGGGCTGCCCAGGACCAAAGGCAGCGTCCGGCTGGCCAGGAGGGCCCCAGGCCAAGCTGTTCTGCCCACACAGCCGAGGGCTGGACCCTGAGCCGCTCACGATGGAACAGGGCCCGCGGGGAGGAGGGAAGGCAGGCCAGCCGACGGGCCGCCAGACACCAAAATTAAGCACCAAAAATGGAAGGTTTGAGCCCTGTGAGTGCTGCCCACGAGGGAGCAACAGAGGACAGATGGGAAAGGCCGGAGAGGGGCAGGGCTGGAGTCGCTGTGACACCAAGTACACTAAGTTTTCTATATTGAGCTTCCACAGGAGATTTTTTGGAAAAAAGGGCTCCACTGCTAAAAACGAGTTTGCAAACCCCTGATCTCAAGAAGCGTGTGGGTGTCTGGGAAGGGGCCAGGCGTGTCTGCAGGCTGAGCTGCGTGTGCTCGGGGGGCGGGCGGAGGTTTATTCTCAGTTCGGAAGGTTTGCAGCAGGTTCCTCTGTGGGTCTGTGTAGAGGACAAAGCCCAGGGCCCGGTGGCCACAAGCCCTGGCAGGGTGGAATCCCAGCTCTGTCACTTTCTAGTGCTGTGACAATGGACAAGTGGCCAACTTTCCTGAGCTGTGGTTTCCTCATCGGTAAACCTGGTTATTGTGAGGATTTGGCAATGATGAATTTGAAAAGGCGTAGCGGGGGCACGTGGTGGGCAGCCAGCCAACGGCAGCGTCACCAAGATGGGCAGGGCCCTGCGGGGTGGGGACGGGGTGGCACCACTCATTTCTTGGCATCTGGGAAAGGGCACGGCTCTCTGTGGGGGAAGACGGTAGGCTGGGGTTGGCTCACATTCCCCGACCCTGGGGTGCTGACCTTAGAGCCTGAAAGGAGACCCAGGGCTTGGGTCAGGCTGGGGCCTGGAGGCCCAGGGCTTGTAACAGGATCTGCTGCCACCTGCCCCTGACACCAGCGAGTTCATGTTTGGTAGCAACTCAGCGCTGTTTGCTGCCTGACAACTGGGCGGGGCCTGGCCCTGGGAAGACCAAGGTCTCACCCACCCTGCCCCCAGCCCACACCCTACCAAGGGTCTGCCAACACGATCCTGGCACACCCCCTCCCCCAGAGAACAGTGTCTGTCCGCGGAGATGTGGAAACAGAGCCGGCGTCTCACTTCCATCCACAGGTCCCAGGTGAATCTCCCCATCACCTTGGGGGAGAGGAGAACAGACCCGCTGAGAGGCTCTCAGTGCCTGACCTTCCCCTGGGGATGCCACAGCTGTGCCGCCCACCCACAGGGATGAAAACGTGATGTGCGAGTTGTTCACAGCTGTCGGGCACTGCACCTACAAGTGGGTTCTGGGCTGGTCACAGCCACCAGCACGGTTTCAGGGAGGGGCAGTGCTAAAGGGAAAGTCCCCAGAAATTCCCACGTCCAATCAGTTCTCCTTCCCTCCTTTCCTGGATCTAAGGGTCGGGGTGTCTGGCCAGATCTCATCTTCCCGGGACCCTGCTCTCCCAGGAAGCCTGCTGGGGCGTGGAGACTCTGTGGGGGGACTGCCCCATTAGGAGTCAGGTTCTCTGCAGAGGTGCAGCGTGGGGCCAGGGCGACAGCCTGGGATGGGGGTGGGGGAAAGAGGGTCTCACTATCCCTTTCAGAACCTCCACCGCACATTGTCACACCCCGTTAATTCTCCTGCCACCCAGAGGGGTGGGGCAGCAGGCAGGCCTGGGGTGCGTAGGCCATTTCTTTTCTTCTGAGGGAGGCCTGCACTGGGAAGTGGCCCCAGTGCTGGACCAGCTGCGGGCCAGGCCGAGCGCTACCTCCCCACCCCTGCCCTCAAGTATTTATAGAAGTTATTTTGGGAATTTTCTTTCTGAGCTCAAGGCACATTCCTGGGATTCTGTAACAGCCTTTCCAGCTGGGAAGCCGGGAATCAGCTGGAGGCTGCTAGAGCCTTCTGGTCCCTGGAGCCCCCGGCTGGGGACACGGGGCTGCACAGAGGAGCCTGCTCTAAGGGAGGACTTGCTCCAGCCACCCTGGAGCAGGGACACAGCCTGTGGGCTTCCAGGGAGCCCACAGCCCAGCCCAGCCCCAGGCGCTCGGCATTCCCTATTCTCTCAGGTGTGTCAGCCTCAACCCGTTTAAGCGGACCAGGACGGTGCTGAGGCAGCTCTCCAGGCCGAGAGCTGACCCTCACAGCACCACGTCCCTCCTGCAGCTGGGGCAGCTCCAAGGCCACAGCCAGGTCCCATTTCCCTGCTGGGGAAAGGCATGGTAACCCAGTGCCTGGCTGACACACCCTCCCAGAGTCCCCCTGGGTCTCAAAGGAAGAGGCCACTGCTGAGAAAGGCCCAGACCCAAACTCTGAGCCCAGCCTCAGAGGAGCGTCTAGGGTAGTGGGTGGCTGTGCTCGTGTTGCCAAACCTATGACTATTCCTTCCTCTTCCTGGGTCCTCTAGAAGTGAGATGGGGACCTCTTTGGCTGGACCTCTTTTGTCTGTCTTCAGAGGGGCAGGGGCCAGGGGCCAAGCTGAGAGGCTCAAGGACTGGCTTGACCAGAGGGTGGGTCACATCCTGGGGGACTCCAGAGCCTAAGGATATAACAGGAAGTGGATCAGCCCCCTCCTCTGGGCAGGAGGCTGGGCCTTTTCTCCCCCTTTCGGAGCTGGCATCAGGTTCTGGGTTGGCAGGGGCTTTGCCCACCCTGGAGCACTGCCTGGCCTGGCCTGGCCTGGCCCCTGGGCTAGGTCAGGAGGCTGTGGGTAAGCCTCTGGATTCTGGGTTCTAGAAGTGAGCCCCGTGTTGAGGAGAGAAAAGGGGGCCCCAGTCGCAGAATCTCCCCTCTCTGGGCAGGAGGTACAGCCTAAAAGGGGGTGATGGCCTTTTTGGGGTAGGGGCTCTGGACAAGGGGCGGGGCTGCACCATGTCACACCTTCCAGATATGGTGAGTCTTTCTGATTGCTTTCTTGACAAAAGTTGATTCTGGAGCTACATTAAGCCAACAGTGCTCAGCTGTCATTCTGAACTGAATCTATGAGAGGCTTCCAAAAAGCGTCCTCTAGGCTTCCTCATTGGAGCTGGGGATGGACTTCAGGGGCCCACACCAGCCTGAGGTTTTCCAAACGTCCTGGGCTGGGCGGGGCTCAGGGTGCGTGCTGGTTACAGCTCCGGCGTACGGCAGGGTGGGAGGGGCCTCTGGACACCAGCGAGCAGGTGTGGGGTGGGGGGGTCCTACAGAACTCCCCCCTCCCTTCTCCCCCACATTCCCATCAGGGAGCATGACCTCAGGCAGGCCTGGCAAGGGGTGAAGAAGAGAGAACTCACTAGGAAGTCAAATGGCCAAGACATTCCCATTGACCTTTCCTGTCACACAGAGGCAGGGTTCCATGTCTACGGGAGCCGGGGGACCAGGGCAAGACTTCTGGGCCCTTTTGTTCCCTCAGGCAGCCGGGACCCCTCTAAGCCACCTGCTACAGCTCAGGAAATGAACAAGGAAGGGGAAGCC